TTATATGTGTATTCAAATAGCGTTATGAGTTGCCAAATACTTGCAATTTCATATATGTATTCACTAATCGTTAAGAGCTGACATACTGTTTGATAAAAGATACGAATTGTCTTACCGTTACGAGTTATATGCTTTATACAGCATCATTCGTCCTGGATCATACCACAGCTTACATTATATTCATATAACATTATGCGATAACATAATGATGACATTGTGTTATACACACAAAGTTTAAAATTCCTAGATCTATTTCATAAAAGCATGATGAATCTCAATATTATATACTGTAACCTAAATTGAAGGCTCATAACATTATTTGATAACACATTTTGACAGGAATGCACAGAAGCGAATCGAGACTTTCCAAACCTTTTTTCAGCATTATCGAAGTTGGCATAACAATAAAGGGGTTAGCATATTTTTATGAAGATCATTAGAAAATAAAGTGAATTCTAAGTATTTTTTTTAAATTTCTTTGCTGATTCAAATGAAGTTGCCTATGACAGCGGATTGATGCATGGACAGACCACTAAATTACTCCAATTCATTAAGCAAGGGTAAATGAATCATTATTTTGAGCTGATTTTTATGTGGTGTTGAGGGTGTTTAATACATCCCTAGTTGTCCATCGTGAAGTGTATTAAAAAGTGGGGCTTGGCCAACAAGTGCTTTTTTAAATAAAATGCTCTGTAGGTCACAGCTTGATACGACAGCAGAGTTCTAACCATGAACAGACGATGCAAGTATGAACAAAACATTCACGCTTGATACAGTTCTGAATGAGGATTGTGATTAAATATTTGACACCGCAATCAAGTTAAATTTGGACCCTTTGAACCTCAATGTAGACCAATTTGATAACGAGCCCAAAATTCAAAATCTAAATCCAGCATATCAAAATACCCAATAAATTTAGTTTTTGTTGAAATCAAACAAAACCTTTCTGACAACTTTAAAAATTAAGCTCAAAATTAAAAAATCTAAATACATGTTTAGATTTAGGATATCAAAGAACCTCAAGAATTAATTGTTTGTTAAATTCAAATTCAAACTAATTTTAATTTTGGACCCTTTGGACAAAAATGTAGACCAGTTTGAAAACGAGGCCCGAAACTGAAAATCCAATTGCACTTTTAGATTTTGCATATCAAAGAACCCCAAGAATTCATTTTTTTTAATGAATTTAACAAAGTTTAATTTTGGACCCCGATTTGGTCCAACTTGAAAACATGGCCCAATATCAAAAATCTAAAAACACGATTAGATTCCGTATCGCAAAGAACCTAAGAAACTACGAATGAGAATAGCGAGGGTGAATATTAAAGCAATTTGCACAAAGTATTATAAAAGTCTTGTTTTTGGCCCCTTATTCCTTAATGGTTGAGGCCATAAACCTAAAATCGACTTTCTTCCATGTGTAGTATGCAAACTTGTCGTACAATTTCATGCAGATCCATAGAGTTAGACCCCGTTCACACTAGGACATTTAGGTCGATTTAAACTAGATCGGTTCACTTTAGATCGGTTTAAGGGCTAATGTGAACGCTTTGAATCGATTTTCAACCGATCTAAACTAAAACACCAAAAGAGGTAGACTGGTACTAAGTCAGGAGACCTGTATTAGTTTTCTTTGTATTTTAGTGTTTTACTCCATTTTGAGGTTTCATGTTGATGCTTTTTGTTTATTTGTGATTCATGTAGATGCTTTTTTGTCTATTTGTGATTCATGTTGATGTTTTTGGTCTATTCATGTTGATGCTTCTTGTGATTCATGTAATTATTTTTTAGGACTACTATGTGGGATTCGTTTTGATGCTTATTTTAAGATATTACTCTATTTTGTTATTCATGTTGATGCTTTTTATGGTATATTTTGTGATTCTTGTTAATGCTCTTTTGTCATTCTGTTATTCTTGTTGATACTTTGTTGTATCTTTTTTGTTATTCATGTTGATGCTTTTTATGGTATATTTTGTGATTCTTGTTAATGATGTTTTGTCATTTTGTTATTCATGTTGATATTTTGTTGTATCTTTTTTGTTATTCATGTTGATGCTTTTTTGGTATATTTTGTGATTCTTGGTAATGCTCTTTTTTGTCATATTGTGATCTCATGCTCTTTTTGTCATTTTGTTATTTCTTGTTGATAATTTGTTGAGTGTATTTGTCATTCATGTTGATACTTTGTTGTATCTATTTTGTTTTTCATTTTGATGCTTTTTTGGTATATTTTGTGATTCATGTTGATACTTTTTTTAGTCTAGTTTTTGTTATTCATGTTGGATACTTTCTTATAACTTTTTAGTCATTCATGTTGATACTTTGTGGTATTTTATTGTGTCTATTTTATTATTCGGTATTTTATTGGATCTTTTTTTATTATTCATGTTGATACTAAACAATTACTGTCTTTTGATGAGGTAAATATGTGGTTTTATTGACAATTTTAAAACTGATATTCACTGAGGCCGACGGCCGAAGTGAATATCAGTTTTTCAAAAGTCAATTAAACCACATATTTACCGAAACAAAAGACAGTAATTGTTTTATTCCATATTCCGAGAGAAAACAATGTATTTAATGACAAATATTTACCCAAACCAATTGTACATCAAACATTTTACCAAAACGTTACATGTAAAAGCGCGTGACGTTTAGCGCGGTGAATAACACTTTTCTCCAGGTGAATATGCTTTTTTATTTTAAAATCCAATTCATATAGATAAAAAAACTACTAAAATAATACTAATATTGAATAATTTGTTTTATTCATTCTAATATTTTGTTGTATTCATTTTGTTATTCATGTTGATACTTTTTTTGGTTTATTTTCTGATTCTTTTTGATGCTTTGTTGTAAATATTTTGTTATTCATATTGAAACTTTTTTTGGTAATATTGTGATTCTTGTTGATACTTTGTTTTATCTTATATTTAATTCATTTTGGTACTTTGTTGTATGTATTTGGTTATTCATGATGATGCTTTTTTTTGTTAATTTTGTGATTCTTGTTGATGCTTTGTTGTATCTATTTTATTATTCATGTTGAAGCTTTTTTTGGTATATTTTGTGATTCTTGTTGCTGCTTTGTTGTATCTATTTTATGATTCGGTATTTTATTGTATCTATCTTATTGTTCATATTGATGCGATGTTGTTCTATTTTGTTATTCATGTTGATACTTTGTTGTATCTATTTTGTGATTATTGTTGGTATTTTGCTGTATCTTTTTTATTATTCATATTGAGGCTTTGCTGTATCTATTCTATTATTCATGTTGACGCGTTGTTGTTTCAATTTTTTTTTATTTATGTTGATACTTTGCTGTATCTATTTTATTATTCATGTAGATACTTTGTTGAATCTTTTTTGTTATTCATGTTGATATTTTGTTGTATCTTTTTTATTATTCATGTTGATATTTTGTTGTATCTTTTCTAGTATTCGTGTTGATGCATTGTTGTTTCTATCTTGAAATTCATGTTGATACGTTGCTGTATCTACCTTAGGATTCATGTTGATATTTTTTTGTTTCTTTTTTATCATTCATGTTGATACTTTGCTGTATCTATTTTATTATTCATGTAGATACTTTGTCGAATCTTTTTTATTATTCATGTTGATATTTTGTTGTATCTTTTTTATTATTCATGTTGATATTTTGTTGTATCTTTTCTAGTATTCGTGTTGATGCTTTGTTGTTTCTATCTTGAAATTCATGTTGATACGTTGCTGTATCTATCTTGGGATTCATGTTGATATTTTTTTGTTTCTTTTTTATTATTCATGTTGATACTTTGCTGAATCTTTTTTATTATTCATGTTGATATTTTGTTGTATTTTTTTATTATTCATGTTGATGCTTTGTTGTTTCTATTTTATTATTCATGTTGTTTGCATTTTGTTTTTCATGTTGATGCTTTTTTTGTCAATTTGTTATTCAGGTTGATACTTTGTTGTATTTATTTTATTATTCATGTTGATTATATTTGTTATTTTTGTTAAAGAAGTTTTGCGTTGTGTAGTTTGCTTTCAAAGTTAATGATGAGCAAAGGTTTTATGTTGTCTTTTTTATGATTCATTTGATGTTTATCGGCCTATTTTGTAATTTATGTTGATGTTGCTTTGGTCCATTTTGAAATTCATGTTAGCATTTTTTGTGATTGTTGTTGAGGTTGCATTGGTCAATTTTGTATATGTTTGGTCCAATTTTTTTTTATTCGTGTTGATATGGGTTCTATATATTTTGTAATACTTTGTTGATGTTGTTTGGGATAATTTTGTGAGTCGTGTTTATGCTTTTTGGTCTAATTTGTGATTTTTCATTCATCTTTACACTATAAATGCTTTACTTTCAATGGACGCTTTTTGAAGATCATATCATAAATACTGCAGTATTTGAGTTGCTGGGTAGCTGTCTGATTAACTTTTATCATCTGTTATTTGTACTTTAATGTTATACCACATAAGTCCATTTGTACTTTTAACTGCCTCAAAGTCGTTAAAAATGAATTTCATATTTTCACAATCAAAAAGTCTTTAATCGTAATTATGGCTACATAAGAATAAACAAGTCTCTCCATATCAAAACCTATTACATGCCAAGTTTAGTTTAAAATTTCCAATCAAATGGTTAAATACATTATAATTAATCTGACATACAAGTGTCTTTAAATACCAGGCGAAATTAACTTAATTATCTTTTTAGACCAATAGTTTGTTCTATTTCCGATATAAAATATAAACAAAAAATATCTTATTTTGTATTTCATCGTACAGTGCACATCACGTTAATCCTTTTAGGTTTACGTTTTTTTTAAATTTTAAAAGGAACTACTGGTATATAAGATTTTTTAATACCGAAACCTTGTGAGCGTTGAACTTTTACTTTTTCATGCTATTATAAAGGGAAATACTAGTATCTAAGATTTTTTAATACCGAAACCTTTTGAGCGTTGAACTGAGTTATAGAAAATAAAAGATAAAAAAAAACTCACCTGACTCCAGGTATAATAATATAATTAACACCGTGATACTCAGGTAGTAGATCATTCCGCTAAAAAAGTATTTCTTTTTAACATCCAAATATCCCAATCAGCTGATTAAGAGTCAATAACAGGATCATAACACAGACAAAATCCCCAAAGTAATACTTAGAAAAACTTTACGATAATCAAATAACTTTCCTTTGACAAATATTGCTTCATTAGTAATGACTGAGATCTCCTTAAAGGACCATACTACACTATATAAATTACATTCTCTTGTGAAGTATTAGATCTATCTGATATGTAATGGACAGGTTAACACCGGGTTTATATGTTTATCTAGGGTTTTTACTAGTATTGATCAGCGGTGATCAACAGTGCTACAAGACAAAGTCACAAACTCATTGAAGCAATTGAAAATTGATGGTGAAAATCTCTATTTGGGGGTGTTGCTTCAGTACGCCAATCATCAAGCAGAAAACAAGAACGATATATACCATACTTGTGAGTTGAGATTTGTCAGGATTCATGTAATAAAATCATCAAAGCCTCTTATCACTGTGGTTTTTATTAGTCCTTTTCTGTTTGGAATATTGTAAAAGAAATCAAGATTAAATTGACTTAATGATGTAATCTAAGGATGTAAAACTAGCTTAATAAGTGTCACACGCCGCTTTCAAATTTTCATTTATTTCTTTTTAATAGTGACAGTTTGGAGAGTAAATCAACATGATCAATACGCTTGGCAATCTGTCTAATGTCCAACATATTAAAAATAACTTTTGGTAACTCTTATGATAATATCGTCTAGTAAATGTCCATCGATGAAATGCACACAATGTATGTAGATCTTTGACAGTTTTATGTCTGGTATTTGCACTCTATACAACCCAAATAATGGCAATATGATCGACAATAGGAGGTGAAAAGGAAATTTTATTTGAAAAACTTTTCTTTTAAATGTTGTCAAAAGTTGTACATTTGTTTTAAAGGACAAATATTTTGAAAATAACAAACAAATGTGTTCTTCTTAAGCGACTGTCTCCTCTTAAAAGAAATTTGTTTCGTACTGAACATGTATTTTGTAAGACAGCTCCAAATATATTGACAATGCCAATTTGAAAGGTGCTATTTTAGTTTTGAATGAACATTTGTAAAACTAGCCACTGGACGGCAGTCAACTATAGACACTTCAAGTTGTGGGAAAACTTTAACCTTCAAATGATACCTTCATCTCATTATTTTTATATTTTAAGCATCGTTTGTACCCTAACTGTAGTTGTCAAAGAGAAAACCGACCTATAGGGGGAGGGTTGAGATCTCACAAAACATGTTGACTTTATTCAGTTATATATAAGCGTAATCAAATTTCGCCAATCTTCGCCAAACTTTATTAAATGATTTGGGAAAAATGTCTGAATGTCTATATACGATGCATGATATTTTGTATATATTTTACATTTTTTTAAATTGCAGAATAATTGGACTTTCAAATACAATTTGAGGTGAACAATATCTTCAACTGTTGCCGGATAGCTGGAATTTTCCTTGATGGAAGCTCATTTTTCTAGAGTATTCGGACAATTTTGACTTTTCCGCTGTGGACTTACGGCTGGTATAATTGATAAATATATATATGGAATTTTGCATGAAACATTTGTTGTTCTTTATAAGGACGCAGCAGTTTATTATGATTTATTTGCTTTCAGTCTTTAATTTGAAACATAGATATGAAGAAATTGCATTCTAATACTGTCACATACAGGCTTATGATATTAACAAGCCAACACCTTAGTTCTAATACAATCACGTTTTCCCTGACATCGTAAAAACCAGAATATTTCATATCAGGTGAGGCAATACCGATAAATGTAATGACTTCTATTATTTTGTGCGTTTATGTAAATCGTGTTGCATTTGTCTTGAAGTGAAATGTAAAATTGGAAAATATATCGATTACAACAGAAAGCTTTAATAATAACATTTGATATCAAACTTAATAATATCGGTTGTTTTAGTTATGGATTCTATTATGTTCTATTATCAGAACAGCATGCTATTGTTCATAGCCGTATTGATTCCGTGTACTAGCTGTTTTACCGGAAAACATTACTAGAAAAAGAAACACTTTATTTGCTAATCTTAATAAATAAAAAGGGTATCACAAGTCATTTATTTACCCAAGTGTTATAACATGACAACATTTGAACAGTCAATTAATTTATAATAAAAGCCATTTAAAGCGGCAATTCCCGATTTGCAGAAAAAAGGTGAAATGTAACACGTTTTGAAAGCTCAGATCCATTACTAATTGTACATTTCACATTAAGATGGGAGGAACAAATATCAATTAACAAATAACGTGAAAATTTACATATTTAATGGAAAATAAACAAATAAAATGCTTTAAAGTACAAGAGGTTTACAATTTTAGAAAAGAGAGCATGCAAATGTTTTATTTAGGAATTGATTAAACAAATATAGATTGAATGTACAGACAGTATGATTGTTTATATGAAAAGATAACTTAAACAAGTATTACTGGGGGAAAATACATCAGAAAGTGATACAGTAACTGAATAAGGACGGCAATTCATGTTATTATTGTTGGTGTGCATGTGTAGGGTATAAGGGATATATAATATTTTATACATTTCTAAACATTTCTTTTGGATTTAACTATGATTGACTTAAATTAGCTAACATTAATAAAAACACCATGTCTTTAATATAGGATTATTTTACAGAGTATCAGGTTGGATTCTCTTCTGTTTATCCATCTATGCATATCCCATGGTTCAGTTTCGTATAAAGAAGTACAAAATAGTGGAATCTATTGGTTTATATCAATAAAAGTAACCATAAAAACCAAGAATAATTATCCTCGGAATAGTATGTTTTGCAAATTAAAAGATTAGTTCCAGCGAATCGTAACGAACCCACGGGAAATATGGTTGTTCTTTTTTCAAGGTATTTTGAATTTGGAGCTCCAGCTGACGTTTGTACATACATGAATTAATTTTACTTTCCGAATATTGGATTCAGGGTTGGGTCCACAAAAGATCTCTGAAGATGTGGTTTGGGGGTGGAATGGGGTGTGGTGGAGTTGAGCAAAGAATATAACATGAAGGGTGGTATTAATGCATTCCAAGATATAGAGAACTAAACATTTATTTTATTAGTACATCGTAATGCTGATTTTGTTTTTCCTTGTCTATTCCCATCGGGTAAGCTGTAAGTTGTACCCGGCTGACCATGAATACACAGTAAGTTGTATACTTGTATGCATCTGTCTCGTGAACAATGGTAACAACACAACCAGTTTATTTATCAAGCCCAATGTCATTTATCTATGGGTCAGAATAATATGCTTGCTTCGTGTCCAAGGGTGGTTCAGTTTCATTTTTTGAAATAAAACATGTTGTAAAGCATTTTACAGTCGTTTCGACAACTAATTATACAAAATGGGACACTCTTATGGTGCTTCCTGTAATAAAAATGGTGAAGTTGAAGTCATTCCTTCGAAAATTTTACGGACACCATGCAGCACGAATTGGTGAACCGTTATGGAATATCTGTTTCACAGATGACGACATATATGTTCCCATTGTCGAAATACTCCCGTCCTCTTTTTACTCGAATGTGACCTATCAAATTAGATTTATTACCGTGTTTGTACTTTCATTAGTAACACGTCGGGTACCATATTTGGAGCTCTCTTTTAATGTTACTTGTTACGCAAGTCTACTGGAAAATAAGGGTATGTTGGATAGGACAGAAATTTTAACCTTGCAACGAGCTTCCTGTAGACCCCTCTAACAGTTCTTGCAATTGCTCTTTATTTAACGTGCAGAGCCTGAGAGCGGCAATCTCCAAATACGGAGTATTGGATTTAACGTTGCTGCTTATTTATACATCCAAAACGGACGCCTCTCTTTAACAGTGGGTTTACTGCCAGATAAGAAATTCAGGAATGAACGATGATATTTCTAGCATACCCTAGTCAATTCAATTCTTTGGGTTTTAAACTTACGAAATGAGCTTACAATTCAATATAGTTGGAGTGTATATATGATTTTCATTGATGCTTATATGGTCGTTAATTCTAATGTTAAACTGTTTTTCCTGGAATACCGCCATAAGAACTCCGGTACTAACATGTTTTACTTTTAATATATAAATTTAGAAAATAGTACCATTTTGCAAATTGGTATATCACGGTTTGAATTCTCTTAAATTTTACTTTACATTGGGTCAATTCTACTGTTAGTACTTGAGAGTGTCATCTAAACCTGTTCATAAGTTCACATGTTCTCAAAATAAGGTTGATCAATGTGTAAGGTAGGAAATTCGATAGTCAATTGAGAATGATGGTATGTTGGACATTTTGCCTTGCAACAGGCCTTACAGATCCCCAAAGAGTTGTTACAAGGGTTTTTCAACGTCGGAGAGTGCAATATTTCCCCGACATGAAGCGTCGGATTTAACGTTCCTATGTCGACCGGGCGTGTCTGCGTATTTATACGACTCGTACAGCCAAAACGGATCTCTCATAGCAAAGGTTACGTTGGATGGAAAAATTCAAGGGATAACAATAGTTCTATACTCCGGTCAACCTGCCATGTGAATTTGTCTTCCATAGATGATCGTAGATTTTTTTCAATTATCTCTTCGTTGTTTAACAAGATTGAGTTGTTGGAAATCCTTTTGATAACACCACATTTTCTTTTGTTTATAACGCACGTCGTATTGAAATGACCTATTAGGCTTTATTCAAATCGTGTTCAAATCTTATGTTTTAAATGCATATAATGATAATAATTTATTTTTAAATTGCGAAAATAAAACTTTATGAATTCTTTTAGTAAATTATACAAAACATTATAAAGTTAAGATTTATAATAATGTTTACAGTCTCAAGAGATCGTATATTCCTCCTGAAGCAATCAATTTTGACGATCAAACTGGGAGGTTTTACTACCACAAAAACAGATGTTCTTTCAGAGTTATGAAGATTTACTACTTTAGTGGCAATAATTTACGAAATAATATTGTAGTAATTATTCAAATTCTCTTGGGCTTAGTGACTGTCATGTTCTGTACTGATCCTTGTTGTAAGCTCTGTGAAAGTCTAGGACTGCGGGTCTAGTTATGCTGTTGTCGTAAGTAAAGGTTAGAGAAATCACGGATAATACTTTAAACAGATTCTCTAATGCTTTCACCAACTTGTAGCAAGTGATTAAACTGCTTCAGGCGGCGGATCCAGGGGGGGGGGGGGGTTGTTGTTGTTGGTTGGTTGGTTGGGGGGTCGGGGGTTGGTTGGTTGGGGGGGATTTGGTTGATTATATAGGGAATCACTGAAGCATGACTGTAGCGGACCCCCTTATAAAA